CCCGTACACGAGTTCATGCTATCATCTCGCAGCCATATCCTTCGTAATGCTCTCTCCACGTTCAGGAAAGAGTACTACTTCTGTCTTCAAGGGGTTATGTCAATCGAGTACGATAAGGCAGGACAAGTGCATGTCCTATTTTCCAATACTTCGTTCCTGGCGCTTTTCAACCTAGCAGTATACTTGTATACAGACAGGTTATATGACGTCTGGCTCAGGAAGCGGAATGATAAGAAGCAGACAGATGCAACATTGGCAAATGCAGCCTTATACAGGCAGGTACGCATTGAGGTGCTCAAACTAGCGGCAGCACTGGAAATTTCCGGCCTTGAACGTGCAGCGAGGATAATGACCCAACCGGCAACAACCCTACATAATGACATGGCCACCGCAATACAAGACACCCACTTTTTTGACACAGCCGACGTACTGATTGAGCTTAGCGGAGACGCAGAAGTAAAAGCTCACAGCCATGTACTCTACAGCCGATGCACATTCTTTGATGGTCTTTTCAGGGGTCGAGCAGGTGGCCGTTGGCTACACGCGAGAGCTTCTGGTACGGAATGTGAGGCCCCTGAGCCTATACGCGTTGACTTATCTCACGTGGAACCCAGTGTATGGGATTTCGTTATGCGATATATATACTCAGACGTCGATGAAGAGTTGTTCGACAATGTGCATGTTTCCAATGCTGATGCATTCATAGATATTGTCATTGATGTACTGAGCGTTGCAAACGAGTTGATGATTGACCGATTGGCGCAAATATGTCAGCGGAGGCTAAGTACGTTCGTTACCATACAGAATGTATGTCAACTTCTTAACGCTGTGATGCCGTGCTCCGTGAAGGGATTTAAACGAGCAGCGTTAGAGTTCATCTGCCTTAACCTTGAGACTATGCTTGAAAACAGATTACTGGATGAGCTCGATCCGGACTTGCGTTGTGAACTTGACCGAATCTGCCAGGACAAGCAGCTTACCTCTCAATCCATCTCGCGTGGCCGTAACTCTGAGGCTTTCCTTGCCGAACGCTATCCAGAAGTTATCCCACTAATTGAACAAGATAAAAATCGCCGCATCGATGCAATGAAGCTTCGTTCGCATTTACATGAAGATGAGGTTCGCGACGCAATGCTTCGACCTGGAAGTCTCGAAAGAGATAAGCCATCCATATCTCCGCTCTCAAGGAAAGGGAAACAAATAGGTATCGTCACACTGTCGTCGGATAAACCACCTATTGAGGCAAGTCCTACACTTGTACCGAAGAGATCAGTTGGTGATCTCATATTCCAGATGGATGATGAGCCATCTCTTCACACCGATAGTCGCCGTGGAGATAGTATAAGACCAACGCCAACAGGAAGTTCCCGCGGCTCGCCACGAAGCCAACCCCAACCCGCAACCCCCTGCTCAGGACCTGGCCTAGGTCTGGATTTAGGACCTGCTACTTTTCCTCATCTTTCAACAAAGCCCTCATATACTACTCTTCAGCCACCCAGAACCATGTCCAAAGTCAAGGATATACCCCAACCTGCATCTACCGGTACCTTCAACAATAGCACTACTTCAAATTCTCCACCGCCGAAAGCCCCTTGGTCTTCCATCACTCCAAAGAAAATCCGTGCTGGTCTCAAAGATATCATAGCAGAATCAAGTAGCCCAAGCACACCTCCGTATCGTATTGAAGGGTTCTCTCGCCCTGAGGCAGAAGCAACGCGGAATTTCTCCCCGAAGCTGTCCCAAAAGGAACGAAAGAAGCTTATACAACAGCAGATGGCTGCTGAGCAGGAACAATCCAGTGCTGTTAACAATACCCCTATTTGGCAAATTCCGCGGTCACCTAACCTCAAGCCAACAAAAGCCGATGCCGATATATCGACGTCAAATCCAGCACGCTCCGCCACTCCAAAAGCACCGCTTACCCTGCGCCAGACGGTAGCAGGGTCAAGCACAACCCCTGGCTCATCATCCCCGCTTATGAAACCCACTTATCCAAAAACACCTCCCCGCACTCAAGCACCCAAACCGGCTGTCAGTACTCCCCACACCAAATCTTCACATTTCGCCTCCACTGGTCTAGGAACGTCCCAAATATCTCTTGCAACTATTCTACTTCAACAACAGACTGAAAAGGATGAGATCCACGAAGCAGCAACCGCAAAACATAACCTGCATGACATCCAGATCGAGCAGGAGTTCCAGGAATGGTGGGACCAAGAGAGCAAGCGCGTGATGCAAGAGGAGCAAGCTGCAAAAGCCAGGGCAAAGATGGAAAGCGAAAAGGCAAGAAGCAGAAGGGGAAACTCTAGCAGGGGTGGAAGGGGACGAGGAAGAGGGGGACAATCACGCTCAAATACTACCCGAGGCGTTGAAGGGTCTGTTTCCAGATCTGTTGGTGCAGTGGCTGCTCTGTCAACGGGGATAGAAATAAATAACCAAGTTGGGCACTCACAATCTCAGAGACGAACATCTGCCCAAACGGATGACAAAGATAAGAAACGACACTCAGATCGGGACCGTGGTAGAGGTCGACATAGAGGTGCAACTGCACGAGGCAGCGGGACACCTCATGTCCAAAACGTTTGATGTCTTACTCTTTTGCCTTTCTAATGCGATTTCCTACAAGGCATCGAGTTACTCTCGGTTTTGTACTGAAAGTTTTTTCACCAACCGTCCAACACCCAACATCACCTGGCTTATATCATTTAATAATGTTCTTTGATTAATAACCTATATGGTCGGATATTTGAATTTTCGCAACTCTCTTACCGTTCCTTGTTGATTGATTTGATAGACGCACCACGATATTGTCGAGTTACAGTTCAGCTCGTACGTTTTATAGAAAAACTATTTGGACGTCCATAACTGTGGCTTCGTCTTCGAAATAAATATTTATGATACCGTGGGAATCTCTATATTTATATGGAGGGCTTAGATGATATCATTTTACGGCTAATAAGCTGGCTAACGTAATAAATGTTAATAATTGCAGCCAATATATGGGCTGAAGATAGTCGTACACAAACAGTTGAAATAATCCCCTTAGGCAGTACCATTTAATCTCCTGGGGCAGCAACTTCAAGGCTATTCCACATACGGCGGACCAATAGCTCTTCTTCCGTAAGGTGATAGCCAGAACGCGATGAGATATCATTGCTTTGATCATTAAGGTCATCTGAGTCATCATTATAAGCTTCTTCGTGATCTTTAAACCGTACCGAGCCTTGTTTCACCTGCTTTGAGGTATTGGTATTTGATGAATGGCTGCCATTGCGTGCGTGTAAAGAAGGAGAGTTGTGATTGATATCATTTGTGTTCAAATGGCCAGGGTTAGAAGAAGCGCTTGTTTGAGATGTTCCATCCTGTCCGGCAGGAGATTTGGTCATGTCGTACATTCGATTTAGGCTATCTACGACTGGATTTCGGAAACGATGCATAACTGAAAACTCACTGGCGAGTCGCTCGTACACCTTCTTTATCCTCTTAGACTCTCCTTCAGCCGAGGGGCCGCCTGCGAATCCACCAACAGCGGTGGCTGCACGATGGGGATCGAGAGCTAGTCGAGTATGCGCAACGTTTGAATCGATCACTTGAGGCACTGCAGCTGGTGTCATGGGCCCCATTGAGGTCTCTGATGGTGAGGTTGAGAGTGTTGCGGTTCGTTGAAGCCATAGCTTTTGCTGTGTACGAGAGTGTGGTTCTGCAGGCCTGCGTCGAGAAGGTGATTTGTGTGCTTTCGTTATAGCTGTCTCCGGAGAAGGTGGTGTACGGGGTTGATAGTTAGGAAGAAACGAAGAAGGGGTGGAGTAGTCGGATTCAGAGCGGCCACCAGGATGACTACCCCCATTTGGATGAGATATTAGAAATCGAGATACCCCTACATCAGTAGATGACGGGGTAGCATTAGGGCTGAACCGCTGAGACTCTTCCCTTTCGTTGTTGTGCCGAGAGTCAGGCTGATTTATTCCGCCGAGGCTCGATAGATTGGCAAATGATGATACCCGAGAGCTTCGTTCTGGCGGTGCCTGGGTAGCTGTAGCAGAAACAGATGAAACCGCTGGAGGCACCATGTCTGAGTGTTGGCGACTAAGAAGCCGCTGGGGTACGTCGTTTTGCCCTTGTTCTGTTGGTTGGGCAGTGTCTCCAGTAGACTTTGCGGGTTCAGGCTGCGCTTCAGCAGCTGCAGCCCCCTCACTCATTTCAGGCTTCATATCCGCTGCGTTGTTCTGTTGGACCAAAGGCGACTTGGTAAACGTCAAGGCGGTACCCTGGGGATTTCCGTCAGTAATGCCGGCCTTACCCATAACAAGTGAATTTCTCCTCGTGCTCGCTCCCGAAGGAGAGCTATGATCTTCCCATTCGTCGTCGTCGTCGTCGTCGGAGCCCGCGAGTTCAAAGCCCACTGATTTCTTCTCTTCTGGCTTCTCAATCCTGCTCAGTTCGCCTAGTAGATGTCCCTTCTTGATGATATTGCCGCTTGAGCCTTCTCGCTTTAAAATGGGAGTTGAAAGATTCTTCCTCATGGCTGGATTATTCGATGATACGCCGCCCAATGCCACAGCAGAGCCGTTCCATCGTACATGGTGCCCGGTCTTTGGACTGGTGGCGGGTGATGAAGGGGCAGACTTCTTTCTCGCATGATGACGTCGACCGGTCACAGGCATTTCTTGTCCCCCGTGGAGATCACTGATAGAGTTGTGCGCCATAGCCAACCGCTGCAGTTTATTCAGATTCATCTGTGACGTGTTACGGCCATGCGCGCGCTGTCCTCCAACCACATGCGGACGGTGAGGCTTATGCCCAGCCGGCTTGTGCGGCGGGGCATGCGTGTTTGGAGGCGTCGACATGGTGTACTTGTAAGGAATACAGATGGGAGGCCGTTTCAATCTTCCCCTCTCGAATCGCCAACTTCGTTGTTTTGATCAAGTATTCTGATAACATCAAGAAGGCGGAAAGTTGAGGTTGGCGGCACGTGACCCAGGCTTTTTAGATCCGCGGTTAGAGTTCTTGGCCTGCGGCTACAGCGTCTATTAGCGCGGGGTTGTCCAAAGTTATATTAAGGTTATGAGATACAAATCCAATAATACTATCATTGTCCTATTTATAAGCATTACAAAGTGGGGTCTTGGGACTTCTCTATAGGAGAGAAGGATGATGATGATGTTAATCTCCAACCTCTATTGAATACCCCAGAGTAGGTAATATGCTTCAGCAAAGGAAGAGATTAAAAGAGATACATGTTGCAATCTTCTTAGTGATTAACAATAGATTATGCTTGGGTAGATAGATGGCATATCATAAAGTTCACGAAGTACTAATTTCGCAGGTTATCATTTTTGGTCAAAGTTCGATCAGACTTTCCTCTACAACAGGTTTTGAAGCTGCTTGCTGCTGTGGTGGAGGCGGCTGTTGCTGCTGGTGATGTTGTAGGGGTGGCTGTAGGGCGGGTGACATGTAGTTATAGTTAGGATTCTGTCCGTTTGTCGGAGCAGGAGGGGTGTAGACAGTTTGGTGAGAGGTTGCAGATGGTGGCGGGTACTGGGTAGGCGGGTATTGCTGTGTTAT